TTTACATCGTTCAACTGTACTTGTAATCTTTGCAAGAAATATGTATGCAACAGCGGTTATATTTAATTTACATTATGATTAACGTCGGTAATTTAAATTGATTGTTTTTAATTAGCTTGAGTATGCACAGCTAGAAATTGTACCAACTTCAAATAAAGAAAGAAGAAAACAGGGGATACAAACGACCTGGATGTACGTCCACGTTGTTTAAGGGCCCTTGCAGTCCACGTTGTGCAAGCTAGCGCTGAATTGGCCAAGGTTTACTTCCATCTGGCCCTTGATTAGAAACCAACATTTAATTGTAATCCGTTATGAAAAATGATCAGAGCTTAATCAATCCCAAACATTCTTTAAACGATCGAACAGCGATGTAATAGGAAAAATAAATCAGCTTTTTGTTTAATGACAATCTATCATTTTTCCCTTTAGAATCTGATGAAGAGTACACAGCGTATTCGACTATTGAGAGCTATGCCTCGTCAATAAGTAACATACTCTGCAAAAGACAATCAAATAACATATATATCGGAAAGAAGAAGTTTGTTTATATCCTGGAGAAAAGCAACGCGCATTCGGCTAACCGTGGATTTCTGATCGGTTACACTTTCTACACGGCTGAAGGTATGGAAATGCAGGCACCGCAGAGCGTTAAAGGGTCAAAAAAAGGCGGGAGGGGGCCTAAAACCGAATAAAAAACGCTAAAGCAACACCCAACCCCCTCCCCCCACCCATCTATCTCCAGCTCGGCGGTGCCTGTGGAAATAGCAGTAGATTGCCACTTTGTACTTTCTTATGATATTTTGCTATTCAGTAAAGCATACAAGAAGACAGGCCACCTCTTTCCTCTTCCAATTCAATTTATCATTTCTTCTACATTCTTTTATATTTGTTCCAGGTTACCAAACAAAAACCGTTAGCTGAGGATAAGATGGTCCTCAGAATATTCGACAATTATAAATAAAACTAAAAGTGGCGTTCTCTCACATCATTTTTACCATTTATTTTTGGGCTGTCGGCGTGCCAATCGCAAAGATAGTCCTAAATACAACTCCGACCGTTTTTGAAATGGTTGTGTAACGGTTGCGTTTAGGTTAAGCAAGGAGAGAGACAAAATAACAGACCTCACTTCATTCCGATATTCAAGAGACTGACCATTTCATAAAACACTCAACGTAATAAATTTGTTAAAACGGAAGTGACAGATTGTTTATCACGTGACAAGATACATCATTCGTTACAGTTGAGAAAAAGAAACAATGGTCTTCTTCCACAGAAGGGTGTGTGGGGGGGGGCAATCGCTCCTCTTGCCCTTTGATAAGAAAAGTAAGGGGTTCAAAGCCCCCTCTCTCCATAAAAGTGGCTATTGTAATCATCAAAATGACTCGCATGAAATCCTGACTGTAGTGCCTTATTCACATGAAATATCTCAAAACTTTTTAACAAAGTCCTATCAAAGCTGTTAGCCCAATTTCATTTTGTTCGCAGAAAATAGAAATAAAATGACAGTTTCAAAAGAGGAAGCTCAATCAATTACCCTTTTACCCTGCCCTGTCCCCTTTGCTCTTTTGTTGTTCTGCAGCCCCTGTACACTTCAAAAATTGATTGTTTATTGTAAGACAAAGTAACACCTTGTTCATGTAAATTTTTAATCAAGCTTTGTATAATTGGCGAATCATGTATGGGACACTACATTTGAATCTACCTTTATTGTATCAATGTGAAAGCCGTAATTGAAATCCAGCCTAATACACCTCTCCCACTTTCTCATATTTGGTGCCATGAATTAGCACATAATCCATTAAAGTGCCTGTGACATGATTTTCGTACTTTTGGGTTTATATATCTATTCTTATGTAAAAAGGCCTCTTATTTTCATTTCTGAAGTTAGTTTTTACGTTTCGTGAGAAATGAAGGAGTTATTGGCGATCTTCTACGCCAAAATTCGCCATCTTGGTTTTCAGAATGAGAAGATAGTGACGTCACGGGAGGGACCCGATCGCCTCCTCCTTCGAGTTTTTGTATCGTAGTCAATGAGGGAAATCTAACAGGTCCAAGATGAGCGATATTTCCAGAGAAAGTAGTGGCAGCGAGGATGAGATTTTTGAAGGTAGCGCTTACATTATTACAATAACGAGTTCCTCCCATGACATCACAAGAGAACGGCATATGATGATAAAGCGACTTGGCTAGGCCGCACTATTTTGCTTAATTTCAATATCAAAACGCTTTTATTTAAAAAAAAAAGTTCAGATCTACTATAAGAGCAGTGCAACGCTTCAAATAAGAGAATAAAAACAATTATGCCACAGGCACTTTAAATTTATATGTTCATGTCGCTAGATTCGTTAATGTAGCTAGTAGCAAAGTGAAAAACAGAAAGAAGACTAGCAAGTCGTTGATATACGAGGAACTGAATCAAGAAGGAAAATGAAACACTCGCAATTGAATAATGATACAATTGATAGCTACTTTCGTCACAAACAATTTTTGTGATTTTTAACTCTAAATGGATGGAACCGGCTTTTTCCTAATTGTTCCTCGATTGTTTGCAATGATAACAACATTGAAAAATAAAACTTTCCATGGGGATTTTTTCTTTGTACTAACGACTCATTAATTTTACAGCCTTCTAAATTTACTAGGTTCCTTATTAATTGAGTTTTCAATTGTGACATCACAAAGAACTATTATAAGAATTCTCGAGTTTTAGCCAAATAACATCAAAGAACACCACGAAATACTCCCATAAATCTAAAATAAGTTAAATTTTTCAAAAATTAGGTTAGCTTTGGCTAATATAAGATTTGAAGTTTGCAAACGAATTACGGTTATTTCGGCACAGTTCATAAAGTTACTTCTCTTTCAAAATGATTGTCTATTGCTATATACTAAAACAACTTTCAAGATGACCACCATTTGAAGTTATATACATAGTACGTATGGTTCATTGTGGCTTATTATTGCACCAGGATGGGTATTTCCTTACAATCAATTGGAAGAAAATCAGAAAATCAGAGACAAAAGTGTTTTAATATTAGTAGTTGAGTAATGGTTTTTTAAAGAGAATTGTTGATTGGAGTAATTTAGAATGAATTTATCTCATGATTATCTTTTACGACATAAATGTAACTTTATATTGCAGGTTACAAGGATTCCAGTTTTGAATATATTCCGATGGTAATTTGGATTTGTATCATTACCGTATGGTCAGTTAGTTGCACAATTTGTATTATCAAGAGGAGAAGAGATCGTCGAAGGATTCCTGCTCCATGGACTATGGCAACTGTCCCTCAAAATACCGTGGTTGCGCGAATTGAACCACATACAATATACCCAGGACGACAAGACCAGCCCATGGAGACTTTTGATGGTCTGATAAACCCTACCTCGGTTCATGGTGGAAATGCAAAGCCCGGATTCAGCCAAACATCGGATAATCTGGATCAAAATCTACAGGTTGCGCTGCCAGTAATTAATGGTGCATCGACTCTTGATCCACCACCAGCCTATAGCGAATGCCAAATGTAAATACCAAAAGATTGTCCTGTACTTCGCCTGTTCATGTGAATCTATTAATCTTTTCTGAAAGGTTGAATGTACTGTTAATGTATCTATGCTTCTAAAGACGGTGTAAGCCTATTGTAATTTTGTATAAATTTTTGACTCAATTAGGGGCGCCTATGTATTATGTCCCTAGTCATAATAATCCTGCTTGCAAAGGCATCGTCATCATTACTAGGCTTTCGATAAATTACATGCTTTCGGTTTCTTTGTCCTATACCCCAAAGCATGTACAGCCCTGCCTGGAGCGCCAAAAAGGGCGTGGGGAGAACCTTTGGTAGAAGAAGCAAGGGGGCAAAATTGCTCCTTTCAAAAAAGTGTGCTTAATGACTTCGGCATTTTGTTTTTTTAGAGGATCATGTGAAGTTCTGGTTTTCGTACCTTATGAATGACAAAATTCTCAAAAGAAGCAAGAAACTCTTATGACAAGAAACTCAATATTTATCAAGAATTAATTTTTCGAAAATCAAAACAAACGGGAGTTTCACGTGATATGTTTCGATATAGACATATCCACCCTTGTTGAAAGGAACATGTTGTTTTATCCTATCTGCCAATCTTTGGGTTGTGCGTCCTACGTATCCGTATGCACGTAGATTCATAAACAACAGAACTCTTTTGGTTGGCAGGAACGCAATCCATTTGAATGGACGGGAGGGCTTTCCTAATACTGTAAACAATACAAGGATTGATAGCAAAGAAGCATTTAACGATGGCCTATTTCATCTGATTTTCAAATAGCAAGGAAGTGTTACCAATCGATTGTAGTTTGTTTAACTGGGCATTTTTGTTGACCAAACTTTTGGACAGCCGAAAACTTGCGATCTTTTGCCTAGTGTAAGAAGAAATAACATTTTCTAGATAGCAGTTGTTCATAAATATAGTTTTAAGTTTGTATAGCTCTGCGTTGAGCTTAGTTTTCGAGCAAATCATAAGTGCCCTATGTACTAAAGTTTTGACAAGGTTGACTTTGCGTTGTTTTGGGCAAAATGAATTCCAGCGTATGTACTGGCCGGTAAAAGTAGGCTTGCGTTGTGTACTGGTGAGAACGCAATATTCTGAAGTTATTTAGTATTGACTGCAGTTAATTTGATATTGAATACTGAAGTTGTGAAGCGAATAGAAAGTTATCATTTCTTTTACTGCCTCATCCACAGTATGCGACATCGTGCAACAACTGTCACGAATCAATAGATCCCTTTCTTATTTGCCAGAGAAGAAAATAACTAATTGTCAAATCTCTGCTTAAAGTTTACAAAAGTTAAACTATTAAATTATTATAGACGTGACAATTTCTAACTTTTTACAAACACGAATACAAAATCATTATCAGGTACATCCAAAATCATGAAATACTTAAATTTAGCAGCATGTGTCCTAGCAATTCATTCCATTGTTCACCAGAAGAAGAATCATTCGCAGATATTACTTGGTAATGAAAGGAAAGCATCATATACATCCATATTCTTTGTGAACGATTTGTCGTGATAAAGCTTTCCCAGTTTAGTAGAGGTTAATAGATACTTTTATGCCTTAGCCATGACATTGAGCTGTTTGATTGACAGTTATATCACGTGTTCAAGATAATATTGATAAAGGTATAAATTAGCATTGGAGAGATATACATAACTAATCTAAAAAAGGCTTTTTTGGTTTACTCTACATTGCAGGGCTCAGCCCCTAACTCATAACACTATTGATACCTTAACTGACAATGTGAATGCAAAGGAGCTATTAGTTAATAAATGACCATATGAGAAGAAGAATGATGTTCTGAATGCACAGGAAACAGCTAATGCAATGTAATTAGATAAGTAGCTAAGATCTTTGGCCTATAATGCTCCTGAAAAGTGGTAGGGGCTCTAGGGATGTAACATTATATTTAACCCTATATTTTGTTTCTAACAAAGGATACGATGCTTGCATAATGAATTTTCCATTTACATAATAAGCTCAGACTGGCCTTAAACTCCATGTAGGCATATTATCGCAGTTTCTGATACAATAGTTTTTAGTCCTAAGTTAAACACGATTCTCAACTTTATGGCATGCTCCTGTGTTTATAGGAACTACCGTGCAATGCAGTAAACATTATCGTTCCCTGGGTATTATGTGTCCGTTTTCTTTTCAGTCAAGTCACGTACGCTTACGTCATTGCTTTCAAATTTCGCGCCTTTTTCGTTCTGTAGGTTTCTTGATTCAGCAGTTTTGTCTGCAGATGGAATTGGTTTGATTGATTTCAGTGGCTTGATGTCATGAAGAGCTGGGATTTCAGGCAAAAACGGTATATCCTGGATTTCGGGAATGCTTGGAGGACTGCGAATGTGATTAATATGAGATATTGGAGGTATTGATTCAGTTAAGTCGTCATTCCAGTTACGCATCCATTGATCTGAAGGGTTGTCCCTATAACTATGGATGTGATCGTCGTCGTCACCATCTTCGTCGTCGCTATCTTCGTCATCATCATCATCATAATCATAATTGCCATACAATTCTGCTCTCCCTGTTTTTGCCTTTGCTATGATATGTCTCTTTGATAAAGCGTTAGCTTGTGTATGCCCACTCCTCTTATCTGCATCACCAATATCCTTTATCTCAGGAATTGGTGTAGCTTCAGGATAACGTGGGAACCTTGGCGCCTCGTCGAGGTTTAATGGTTTGATTTCTTCAAATCTCGGGTACTCAATAAATCTCTTTAGACCTTTCTCTGATCTCGGGAACTCTTTCACAGGAAAGAAGCTTGGATAGCGGGGATATTTTGCCAGATTTGCGGGTTGGATTGGGTAACGATGTAGCATTTGTGTCTCTTGGCTGCTCTCTGGAAATCTCGGATAAATAAAAGCGTTGATGGGCCTAACCGGGAAGCGAGGATACTCGTGACCTTGAAACGGCAAAATTCCAAACCGTGGGTATTCGTGCAGTTCATCTGGTTTCATAAAATATTCTTTGATGTCAGGGAGATTATTGATAGGAGGAATTGACTTAGTTCGCTTCTTAGCAACACTCACTTTTCTCCTTTTATGAGAGTTTTCTTTTCTATTACGTTTAAAATTCATTTCCTGTTCATCATCGAAAAGCGGATTGTCAATTTCGTTTTTTCTTGATTTAAACGCCTTTTCTTCCAAATAGACGCTTTTGCCGTCAATGGAATTTTTTTTAAGCTTTAAAGGATAAAATTTGAACCGCTCTTTGCTGGACTTTTGATATCTATTTATTGACACAATTCGGCCGTGATAAAGTCCGGGAATGGCGAGTCGCCGTGCCGCACGCAACATCTCCTGCCCAATGGCAGGATGGACAATTCGACGGGCTTCTTTCGACAAAGAACGCTTCTTGAGATGGCTTTCCTGTCCTTTCGAACTGATGTCTGTTGTTTTGGTAACGTTGTTTCTTAACCTTTTGATAACATGGTAATTTATCAGCGGAGGGGATGGCTCAGTAGATTTTTTTACCCCAGACAATGTTACAGCTTTCTTTGGGTGTAAAAGTAGTAGGCCATTGTTAACAACGTAAAACTCTGACTTCTTTTCCCCCTTGTCTTTCAGGGCAGTTTGGCCTTTAGCATTATTTATCGTCGCACCACTCGATGACGTTGTATTTGTCGAAGCCAAGTGAGAGACAGCCAGCGGTAATGATATGTTGTTCCTCTTGATTTCCGTTTTCAAGAATTTCACTTCCGTTAGCGCTTTCTGCGCTTGTGTGACTTGAAAAAAAGAAAAATCATCAAGTTAAAGATGAGTTATACTTAAATTTCTAAGCTATTTAGAGAAGAGCTACATTTCTTCCGAATGTCTTAGGATACTGCAAAGAATTAAAAAAACTCCACATGAATCTAACATTATCTAAATGTTAACAGTTAGCATACAATCAGCATTGCTATGATAGAGATAAGATTGAAATGTTGGATATTTCTAAACTAAACTTCCTAATTTTTTGACAAAGTTATTTTACTGTGACAGCCTTCTCACTAGCTCTGGTTAGAACAAAATATGGATTAAAATTCATTCTTATTCAAGATAAATCACGGAATTCCTCTCTAAAATTCGTTAGCTTGGTTAAAAAAACTCAGATTGGAAATGAATTGTTCACCTTCTCTTCTTTGGAAAAATTAGATTTCAAAATTTATAAACAGAAACTAAAGCACGCATGCATCGGTGTAGCTAGGGAGGTTGGAAATAGTTTCAGACCAAAAACCCCCAAAATCTTCATGAGTAAATCGGTAAATCTTTAGTTGGTACAGGAAAACATCTGTTGTTGGTCGGTCCAATAATCTTTCGGTTGGTGAAATGGCACACAATGTTTCTTTATCCATCTCATCGTCGGTAAATTTTCCTCGTGACTCCTGTCACCACATCACAATACCTGCCTTTTTTATAATTGCCGCAGACTTAATGCATTAATGCAACCTTAAGGACTCTTGCGCAACCGGCACGCTTTGCGACTAGAATTAAAAAACCGGCCTATTATCGTACTGCATGAAGATACAAAAAACAGTCAATATCTCAAGAAAGTTGCCGCGAAGCATGCCGGTTGTTTCAGAGCCTTTAATATAACATACTCTGTTTTACAGGGATTATGTCAGTACGCATTTCGCTGGCCATTTAAATTCCTATTGGCTAGATTATACAATAGATCTCTTGTGGCAGTGTCAATCCACTAATCCTCTATGTTTTCTCGATTCTAAACACGCTGCAAGGACTATTTTCAACTCTTACCGGTTGATTGACGTAACATAGTGCTTTTGAGCTGTTGTCAATACTAAAAGAGATCTCTAAAAACTTATATAAAGCAAAGTAAAACTTTTGAAGCTGAGTTTAAATTGTTAACAAGTCCCTTCTTATGGAAATGAATGCTTCACATCATCTGATGTGAATCAATATCACAAGACAAAACAGTATTTGCATATGTGCATAGGTGAAAAAGAGAGCCTGAAACATGCCCACTTCAGTTTTGGCTGAAGACTAAAAATTACGGGTGTATTTGCATCGGTTTTATGAGTCAAGATCCTGCCATGGCCATCCATGGTAGTCGATATGGTAAGCAAAGTTGTCATAATGTGTCTTCTAAAACTGTCCCTTTCCTTGGCTAACCCATGAAGTTATCGATTTCAGCAAACTCAAAATTATCCACATTATAGAATTTCCTAGAATATCGTTTACAAGCATTAATTCAATGCCAATACACTCACAGGAAACCGTTTGAAAGAATTTGAGGTCTTAAGTGACAAAAAATTAATAATCAATTGTACTGGTCACCTTAAAAATTGCTCGAAAATCCGTCTTTTGAAGAAGGGTTGGAAATTGCTATTTTCAGCAATTAGTAACCTATTATATTTTAGAAGGTAGAGATGAAGCAATTAAGAAACTTTTAACACTTAAATCAATAAAAAATCTACTCAACTGAAGGTTAATCTTGAGCATAGCTTTGTTTGAAACGCGAGTGTAGTCAATGCTAATCGTTCCATGCTAGAAATGTTATTAACTTCAATTCGGTCATCGATCAACTTCAACTATTGGACAACCAAAATGAGCACCATCGAACAGAACTCTAACTTGAAATTTTCGTTTTTTAATGTTTGTCAAAATAAAAACAGGTAATGCTTATTCTATCACTGCCAAAACTTTTAATTTCTTGAAAATTTTTAAACTGCGAGGATGACTCAGTTGTCAGGTTAGTGAACTACAGACCCCAGGGCCTTTCAATAGAGCAAGTAGAGCTGCAAACGCTCTGAAATTCATGATTTTGGAATCACGAGGTGTGGTTACATTCGAGAGGAAAGACACGATATTGCTCGATAACTACAAACTTTCATTGTCAGAAATACTACCCTCGAATGCTAAATAAAAGAATTGTTCGACAGTTACTCAACTTTGTACGTATTACTAAATTACCAAGGAGAATGCAATACACGAATTTTTATGGGATATCATTGCTGGGACCAGTACTCAAGGGGGAAAGGGACTCGATTTTTAAAGAATTTGTATTTTTGTATCTGTATTTGTTTCGTATTTGTTGCTACCTAGCACCCCCAAGGTAGTTTTTAGGACACTGAGAAGCTTATGCTTATTGAGCAGTGTTCTGGTCCTTCCTCTCGATGTGACCACATCTCGTGATTCCTACGCCTGGTATTACAAAAAGCTGGCAACTCTCCCCACTCTGGGTGAAAGTTTGGCCATGCAAGAGACTCGAACCACGGACCCTTGGGTCTGTAGTCAGTGCCTCTAACAACTGAGCCATCCACGCACCTTAAGGCTAAGGAGCTACTTTTTAGACGTGAAATAGCAAAATATAGAACGCCTTAAAAGTCACAAGAAGCTCTTCTTTCATTTATATATGCCGATTGAACAAAAAATGGGTGCCTAATTGTCGAAAAAAGATAATCGTTTCATCTTTAATAGAGAAATTTTTCGAGCTGTGTTTAAAGGTTGAGTGTGATCACTGCCTTATCAAAATCTTATCATACCTAATCTCTTATCAAAATATGTAAAGTCTTCTAGGTTCTTCTTATAGCAGCACGGCATTTCATATTCAAATTCAAAAGAAATGTTTAGCCAACCTCGCTAATCTAATACATGCGAAAATGTCATTTGAACGTTTTCTACATACCCAACAATAGTAACGACAACACCAAACGAATGCCTCCCTCCCAAGCCATTTCATGGATCACATATCAGCTATTTTGTCTCGCCAATCTTCTACTGCCCTGGACTGTTTCCTCTCTCCCTCCTATTATCATATTTACGTAATATGAAAACCTTAGGCCATGGTGCAACAGACCATCGCATTTGTTTGAGAGGTCTTGCTTATTGTCTCGACTGGTACACAGAACAGGTAGCTCAAACGATCAATCCTGCTTAGTCCTGTTTTCAGTTTTTCTTGCAGATTACTGCAGACAGGTTGCTTATAAACTACCGCTGCAATGTGCTTTCATAAAGCACTTGAAGTTGTGGAGCAATTTCCCGATAATCTCAATGCTGTGAAGAAACTCTATAAAATGGAATAAATATATAATTGCCAATTTTCCAAGAAAATCATAGTCTTGGGTACAGTAGTTTTGTATTTGACAAAAAGTCCAGAGATTGGCCAGCATTTTTCGTTTATTTTCTGATTTTTTATAATCTATTTCTTTCTTTATTGGTTCCAATTTTATTTTCTTATCAATTATCTTGTTGCAATCTTTTTCTAATGATGTATGAGTCTAATATTGAAAATCTGGATTTGCAGTTAAATATCTAAGAGGGATAATTCTGACTGAGTAACTCCGGAAAAAGGGGCATTTGATCCCTAATACCCACCACGGAGAGAAATTAGCGAGAATGACAATGTGGGCAGATATATCTGCCAATGTATGCAGATATAAACTATTTTATAGCAGCGTTTCTAACTCTAGAAGAAATGGATTAGAAATTTATTTTCTATTGCATAGTTTCAATAAAGCATAGACGGGGATTATGCTGTTGTGTATTATGGTCTAAGGATAATTTATGCAATAAAATTGCTAGCCACTTGGTAGAATCTTCAAAGAAACCAAAACTTTAACCCTTCAAGATGGATAGCTGAAGTTTCAATAGATATTTCACTACGGTATCCCATTAGGGATATTAGCGCATGCGCTACTGGTCATTGCAAGTATTCGCTACTAGCATTCGGCTGTTTTTCCCGTGCTCTCTTCGCAAAGTTGCTCCCATGCTTTATCTTGTATTTCATCTTATACTTCATCAATCGCTATATCATATTTGGTGTGTCCTTTGCTATTAGAGCTGCAGAGTCAAGAAATGTTGTCAACCTTCCTCCGGCCTAGATTATTTTCCTAAAAGCCTTCCTCGTTTATAAATGGGTTTAAATTGGGCGTGGTCAAATAACGTGTTACTCAACTAGTCTTCCCCTGCCAACTCCATTTTTTCAAAAATTTTCTAGAAATTTGTAGCTTTTTCATATTTTCATATTCATATTTTTAGAGACCGACTTAAAGTAAAATGCTTTGTCGATTAATAAATAATAAAAGCGTGCCATTATTCAAAATGAAAGTTATAAAAAGTTAATACCAAAATATTACAGAGCAAAGCAGTTCTGCAAACATGTTCATATTAAAAAACAGGAGCTTTTGAACATAAATTTATTCCTCATCTTTTAGAGTTGTGATTTGAACACCAAAGACAATAAAACATTTTCAACTTCTAAAAGTTTCCAAATTTCTTTCCACATTCATGACTTTTGTTTCGCTTCTACAACATTCCTCAGGCCAGTGGCCGTAGGGCCGTGATGTATTTTTGTCTCTGTAGAGCTAATTTACAAAAACTTCTTAGTGCAAATGAAATTAATAATTCCAAAGAAACTAAGCTTTAGATGAGCAGATTATAAGAAAGGGAGTCAATTCTACTCATAGATATAAAAAGATTTAGCATTCGAACAGAGCCTTTGATTAATAATGCTTCATTAGTTGCTCCAAACAGCATATTTATAGTAGTGTGAATAAAAGAGAGGTCAGAATAGCAGGCTGCTTGATGGACTCCGATGGAATTCTTGCAGCGAAATATTAGCCATAAATCCTTTGTGTGTTTGTTGTTGTCCATTCTCGTCGCGTTGCGTTGTCAGTTATTTTATACACATGTTTATACTATTCGTATTTAGCTCTCATTTATGTGTGGAATTTGATGACGCTTGTAGCAGCTAATGTTGCAAGTTGCAGCCTAGAACCACCATGTTCTACAAATAAACCTGTCTAAAGCCCTGATGAGCACTTTATTGTTGGTTATATAGTATGCTTGTTTAACTCGTATAAACATAGAACCGTGTGCACGAAAGCGTGCACAGCAATGCCTACATGACATGAAGCACTTGAAGAACAAGGTAAAAAGGAAAAGGAATGGTAAAAATTGATTGGTAAAAAGAAAAGTTTCATGCCCGAAATAAAACTTTGTCTACAAATTTAAACACGAAGTTACAAAACCACTTTCACTCAAAAATCGTCCTACATATTATCATAACCCTAAATTGAGCAATATTTCAGCCAACTAAGACAAAAGATTGCCATTAACAAGCAATGTTTTAAATATCCTTGTTTCTGTTATTCAGTAAATTAACAGTTGGGCAAGAGCCTAGACTCATAGTTGAGCTTAATTACATTATTTTACTGTATATGAATACTGTTTAGATGCAAAATACTTTTACTGTATAATAGCTGTAAATAAAATATGTTAAGAAATATTACAATAAAGAAATGGTGGTAACGTTATATTCAAAATGTGCAGTAGAGTCAAAGTGAACACATTGCATAGACAGGAAAGGACAAAGAAGATGTCTAGCTCACAGGTACGCTGTGAGACAAATTGGTTTGCTTGTACCATTTTGAATAGTGGCAAAAAGAAACTTGCTCCGTACTGAGCCCTTATAAATATGGTAAAAGAAATCTTGATTTCGTTCACTTCTGTTTCGAATATCGGTGTGAAATTTCCTGAGTGGCCTTATATTGCACTTAAATGCATCTTATTTAGGGCTCAAAGTGTAAAAAGGAGAAAGTATCACCTCTTAAACTTCTATACGTGAAAAAAGCATCACAGATATAAAGTGATTTATTACCGTTTGATTGTAATCATTGATAAGATTTATGAGACAAGATGCAAACCTTTCAATATTCTGCTTTATGGAACCTCTGGCAATTTGAATCCTCTTTTTCCCCGAATCATGTTAAATTAGTTGCTCTATTTTTTGCGCTTAAAAAAATGCATTTAACATTGAATCGGTGAAGAGGGTAAACTTATTTTCCAAAGAAAAGAAGAAACATTAACGTTTCTTGAAAAGTCTTCACTGTTTTTGTATGGGATTATAGCTTTTGGACACTAAATAACGGCTTAGGGCACTGAAAAGCTATGCTTACCAAGATCACGCATAGTAGCAGCATAAAAGAGTATTTATCTTTTGACCACACCTATAAAAAATGAAACACGCCCTTTTTGTTGACAAAACTCACTTCTTTATACTTCCAAAAGATTTTTTGTTTCTTTCTTGGTCCTAAACCTGGATTTTCAGAGAACTGGCGACATAACCCAATAACCCATGGGAAAGTTTGGTCATGTCAGTGACTCGAACCAAAGGCGTTTGGGTCCGGAACGCCATAAACAGAGGTATTCTCACACAATTCTTATTATAAAACAGATACCAGTTCTTTTATTTTATTACTCTTACTGTCATACACTATAAAAACGGCTGCTATGCTGCTCCTACTCTTGCTGGTGACAGATTGGTTTGTTTAAAATGATTTGTTTGTTAAAAGTCTCAATCGCTGTTAACCTGTAAACCCAAACTCCAAAACATTGGCCTTTTCAACCATTTCAATATTCAAGCATATCGTCACTTTTCCCAGAAAAAAGCTCAAATCTGATGTTGATCATTGAACAAAACTATAAAGGGAAATATAGTCGTCTAATAATTAATGCCAACTATGCAGCAAAATTCATGTGCGGTTACCGGAGAACAACGAAATGCCTGACCTTCTCTCACGCTAAGCGGGTGCTAGATTTGCAGTTTGGCTGGTACTATTTACAAAATCCACTCATGCATAGCACGTTTTTGAAGATTGTTTGGTCTGTGCGTCCTAAATATCGGCAACGAAACTTGCTACATAAAAATACAGGGGAAGATATCATCACTTGTTAAAAGATTTCGACATGCTTTTTGAGTAGAAAGAGTTTATTTCGAAGAAGATAATTGCCTTACTGTCTTATGGTAAGTTGTGTGTATGATTTTGCTTTAAGAAATTTGACACAGTAATGATTAAGTTTATGTAATAATTAATAAATATTCTGAGTTTTCTCAAGTTGTGATCAATTTCATAAAAAATGTTCCAGCTATCATTGAAAACAGATGTACCTTCATGTGCTATACTTTAAAATTCTTAACTCGATATCATTTGCATACATGCAAGCCCTCTAGCAATCTTTGACAATCTTTGAGAATCATAAAAATAAAAGAAGTTGTCGAGTCATGATCAAATTCGTTTTACGTAACGATTTATTGACCAAGTGGACTTGTTTTTGGCTAATATCAGAATGAAATAAAAAAATTCTAAAGTTGTATGGTCTTAATCTTAAGAAAAACGGCAAATTTTCTTCCTTTATTCTAATAGTTAAAAATAGTTGCAAAACAAGCTAAATTAGCTTATGTATTTCAATTTGAAATACAAAAAGCCCTTAAGAACACAAAATGCCAACAGATCACTAGATTGCTTAGATTTTGCTAAATTTTCCAAAACTGAAAAAAAATTGGATTCGATTCAATTTTCAGCTGTCAACCTTTGTGCAATGTTGTTTTGTGCAATGTTGATTTGTGCAAAATTGATTTGTGCAATGTTCCCTGGAAAACACAGCACTTTGAGTGCATTTTGGAAAGAATTAATAGCGAAATGATAACATGATACTTGATAAAACGTTGTCTAAATTCTATACCTTATCAGAAGTGGATGTTTTACGCTGTGACATTGTTCCTTAAAATTCGAGTTCAAAATAAATCTTAATTTTACTTTTATTTCAGATGAAATGTCCAGGCTGTTATTAAAAAGATAGAGTTCAGGACAAAAGCATGGAAACATTGTTTATATTCTCTTCTATTGTTTGTACATTTTTATTTGGATTAGAGCATGGTGAGTATGCTGTACATTACGTAGTTAAAGTTCTGTTGAAAAATGTTTTGTTGAAGCAGGACAACTGAAATTAATCCCATCGAAATTCTTTGAAACCGAAAAATTTCTCACCAAAATATCAAACGCTAGAAAAGTTCTAAATTTAAAATACTATTTTTTTTGATATTACAAAAGAACTTGAAAAGCTTTAAATTGCTGAAAGTATTTCTTTGATATTACAAAATGCTAAAAAGCCCTAAAATTCAAATACTGGTTTTTTTAATATGTTTAGCATTTCTAGTTGTCAAATCAAATTTATCAAAGCGCATGGAAAAACCGAGAAGATATAAAAATATTTTTTTGTTACTACAACTGTTTGAGGTTAATTTACATCAAATACGAATACGGTTCTCGACGTTTTTCCTCTCGTTCCACATCAACAAAGAAAATACCTGGCTCATCTTCACCTTCTTCTTCTCCAGCTTTCTACATCCGAGGAATTCAGGCTCTCCATCGGGCTAGACTGGTGCTTAACTGGCTTTTGTTAACTTCCCTTCAATTATTTCTCTCAAATGTTCCAGCTGATTCAATTTTGACTCCTCAATTTCTAATTCACAATAATTTCTTAGCCACTTGTTCCCAATGGCGATAGAAAAAATTTCGAAACCTAAACGCTTCCAAATGATTATCCTTCGTGACTTGCAACATATCAAAAAATAGCTCTCCTAAAAAACGATTTGTTATATTATTGCCTACTCTTTCAGTTCCATTTATTGGGTTAACATTGAAATATTCGAATTTAGAAAATAATCACAAAGATTTTTTCTTTTTTTCTCAACAAAAATTTTATTCTACCAAAAGTTTTTAACTTTACACCAAATTTTTGACAAGTTATGAGCATATTACCGATATTTTTCCACCGAAATTTTTGTATTTAACGTAAAGATGTTAAAGTTTATTAAAGTTTTCATTTTGTAGCATATGTTTCAACAATATTGGATACGTTATTACTCATTCTGTGAGATCTATGGAAACTTAAAGCCAACGAGCTTGATTATTTCAATTCTATTGGCACTTCGCGAGAAAAATTGCTCTTAATTTCATCACGAGCTAACATCAATGTTGTTAACATCATTAATTTAATCATCATAAAAAAGTGTAATAACTGAAGACCATCTTTGTAAGTTGAAAGCAAATATAAATTGTTTGCAGATTTTGGTAGAAGAAAATTTATATAATGACATCATTTCTTAATACAGCGACTGCCGAGCAGTTCAAATTAAGCAGCCTGCCACATTTGAAAAAATGGGAGATACCATCAATGCCCCAGAAGTATGCAATGAGAACAGGTAGGAAATTCAAAAACATTGACAGAATATACTCAACTGGGAGAAAACGTAGCTCGCACTGGTCTATACTACCTGAATTGAACTTTCGAGAACTTGACATTGAAGAAGATGCTGAGAAGATAAAACTTGATCAGAATTATAAAGCTTTTCTTGAGGACGATGATATTCCAATTGAAACTGCAAAGCACGGTAAGGACGGTCTTAAATCAGCACCAATTAAGATTACTGAAGACTCCAGCAAGCGATCAAAAGCAGCCGAGGCGATCCAAGCACAGAGTTTTACTAGCAAACGACATGGGATTAGTCAGATGACTCACAACAAAAGACACACGCACTCAAAAAAAAGAAAATCGCAAAAATTTGAAAAGAATGCAAAAGCTTCTAAATTGCAAGCAAGTATCCAGCAGTTGAAAGAAAAGAGTAACGAAGCAAATAAAGGGTTAAAACCATTTCTCAGCCAAGGCCCCATGGTAAATTCCAGTGAAGGAGTAAAACAAAGCACATTCTCAACTGCAGACATCAGGTCGGATGTTGGCAGAATGGCGGTGCGAGGTCTTCATTTAAAGCCATCCTCCAGCATAAGGCAGCCTTTGGCAATTATAGAACAGAATTTTCCGTCACAGAACGAAGAAAAGATTTCGAAGAGATCGATTGAGAATGACTTGAGCAGTAACTTAATGAACATGCGAAGAAATCAAATTGGCATAGGGGATGCTATCAAAAGGGCGAGGGTGGCTATCAACACTTTACAAAATAGAAAAGCTGGTTTCAACAAGCCCATGGCCAAGCAAAATCCTATCAAATTGGTTTCTTCGAAAGGAGTTAAAACTCCGCACGCAAATGCTTTGAATGCAGCAACGCACGGCAAAATGCAGCAGTCAAATGTCCAAGAATCAAGGAATCAAGCATTACGGTTGCTTAAAAATTCCGGTCTCAACAACAAAGATCAGGTTAAAAATGGAGTCTTGGGAGATCAACCATCAAAAGAAGTCGGTGGCAAAGTAAGAAACAGTATGCAAGCAAAATCTGTTGCTGGAGGTTCAGATAACAATGGCATCAAAACGTCCAATCAAGTCAGTACTAACAAAGGACGTCAGTCGCAGCCAACGCAGGCGGCTCAAATTTCGGAACGCGCAAAGATTGAAACACCGCGCGCTGAAATAGAAAAGCCGAAAGAAAAAATGAAGATAGTGCCAGCAAACGTTGCACGAGCAGTTGCCATGGCAATGGAGCAGCTAAAACGTGACAAAATGTGGGGTAAAGTGTTTGTCCATGTTCTCCCTAGTGGTAAATTAAAAGTTATGGTGCAGGAAACTAAGAAAATGCCAGAGGAGTAGGTTCTTTGCAGACAGATAACAGGCGGAAATTCGTCATCAATAATATTAATGTAGACTTTGAATACACAGTATAATATTAATGCATTGATAATTGTACAAGTAATTTGCTAGCAAAAGATAGTTTGTTCTGCCACGCCCTAATTCAATAGATTAAGCCCATGAACAAACATTCTTTTATGCAGATAAAGTTTTCCTTTAATCTAGCAAAAAGCAAATTTTAAACTGATATTGTGAAATAAAGACTATCTTTTGAGAAGCAAACTCTTCTAAAAAGCAGGCAGTAGGGTTTACTGTTACTACAAAGTTTGTCATGATGAAATACGTTCTTTTGGGTGTAGCATAAGGGGCTGCTTATTTTCAGATAATTAATGTTATATTGCAAAAGTCCAGGTTGGTGATAACTGATTTTGTCGATAAAAAGGGGCCAGGGGTTTTATATGCTTGTTGGCTGAATATATATGCTTATAGGCTGAATATATATGCTTGTGGTAGTTGAAATAGTCTTAAAAGACAATTTTGGATTTTGGCTTTGTACATCTGACAAATCTAGATACGTTACTAAAATATCTTCAATAAACAACAGAGGACCATCTGTACAGGCACATTCACATATTCTGTAGAACAATTTTCCAGCAGTTTACAATTCTCCTTGATAGGAAATAAAGGAAGTAAAATCTCGGAGTCATATATAATCCATAGAATTGCTGATGGAGAAAACTATCAAGTAAAAAAGTAAAATTTTATACTACCAGCTCGATATTAACAAATTGGTCTATTTTCAAACTCTAAAGTTTCAAAAACTCAACAGGAAATCAATTATGCTTGCATCGTCCTTGTCCAAGTCCAAGAAAATGTTACTTATACACAACCGAAATCAAAGTCCCTCATACAGCCTCTTTGTTGTTTACCATTTTCATTTCTCACGAATCATGCACTGTATCTTGTTGCAAATAAAATTTATGCAGTTAAACTCAGACAAGTTTTGCTCAGGGGTGTCACTTGATGGGGATACCCCCAACCATGAAAGTAGGACCTTCTCACTTAGCAGAACTGATAGGTTTTGTATAAATTCCTGTAGGTTTTCAATCTCGTGTTACCAGATGAAAATTATGTCATCAATAAATCTTTTCCAAAGTATTGGATTACGCTTCATCGGGGCATTGCTCATAATAAGTTGTTCAATTGTCATGAACATGCTGGCATAATTTGGGGCAAGGGTCTCCCCATCGCGATGCATTAATAGAGGTTAATAAAATTTACCATCACACTCTTTTTTATGACAACCAGTAAATAAGTTCAGGCTGGTTGTTCTTCATTTTTTTCGAAATTCTCAAATTAATAGGATGTAAGCAGTGCAATTTCTAGTTATTGCGCTCTAGAGAAGTGGTCAAGTCTCATTTGCCACAAAAGGGAGTAGTACATCCTTCTCTTCGTTTTCTGCATGAGACATTGTTCAAATTTACATTATACAGTAGCTCAGCCTCAGCTTGTTCTTAATTTGTTCTAAACTTAATTTGTTCTTAATTTGTTGACCATATCTAAGGCCTTAATAAGGGCAATAGCGTGTAAAGGCAAAAGGCAGTGCAATTTTGTTTCAGAATTAATATCACCATCTGTTGTATTTTAGATGCAGCGGGGTACTCTCCCCATAATGTTTTAAATGGAATTGAGGGGAACTTCGATACCCCTATCTTTAGAAACGTTTGTTTATAGTGATTTTACAACTAGTATAACGAAATCAGTGGGATGCTAGTGAGTATATCGAGAGTGTGTTGTAAAAGATGAGCACATGCTCTTTGATTTCAGGATAGAGGGTAGCCTCATTCATTAAAAAAATTTTCCTAGCTCGTCTCCCCAAGGTTAGGCAAACACACCGGTGAACCTGTAGACACACTAAGCAAGGGCCTCAGCTGGTAAGACTTACTTTGAGAATAATTTTAGTGTTACAAAAACTGAGGACCAGTTCCCAACATTTCTAACTTTTGCCAGGGCAATTCTTTTCTGGAGAGTAAATATGCAGAACCCCTTCCCCCCCTAAAAAGCGTGTGAAGAGAAGCCCCTGGTTTTGCTATCAACAATGATAACATTGGTATCGCCCAAGCAAGCAGAAAATCCACATCCACATTGCCTTGCTATAAAACTTGAACTGGCCTCCTTGCTAGTGCTCTCGTCTCAGTTTCTTTAAACAGAATCAGGGCCGGCGAAACGTATTTGAAAATGGAGGGGCCGAAAAATCGAGGTTTTGAAAGTTGTTAGGAAAGGCCGTGCAATATTTTTAGAGACATGGTATCTACGGGATGGCCAGGAACTGTATCTAAAATGGAATTTGACTGAAGAGAATCAGAGGAAATATTTCCAAGCTTTCTTTTATCAATGTATCGAATAATTTCGTCTATTATAATGTTGACATGTAATAGGAAAGGTCTTGCAAATATTTAGAATAACCTTTTAACTGTAGCTCGTAATCAAGCTTTTTCAAAATTGAAAAGGAGCCCCAATGAAATGTAGGAGAAAAATAAATGAATGAAGCTTTAACAAAAACATTAACATTGAAATATCAACAGAAGCACTGTCAACTCAAAGTAGAATATTATGCATAAAAAATAGCTCTGAATTAAAGATGCGGCATGGGGATTTAAGACGTCACTTGACAAAATAAATCTCATTTTAATACTTTAAACGTATTTCCACCAAAAAAGACAAACTATCCTTCGTATTCCACTGCTTAGGCAAGATTTATTTCGTTAAAAACGTCACCCCAGCCACGTTTTTCCTTCGCAGAGGATAGGCAGGAACTATTCTTGATTCAACCCCCATTTTACCCCAAAAAACAGCGGCTAATCCCCGTTTACCATCACAATTCAATATCAGCAGTTGATAAAGAACTCGAAACTGGTAATCAAAATTTCCCCGCCACAAAGTGATACTCCCCGCCATTTCCGTCTGGTCTGTTAAAAGCAGGACCTCGAGATTGACACGGGACGTCTGTATCAGCTGGTGGAACTGGGAACTGTTTATTAAAAAGAATTTGAAATTTCCTTTTTACAAAGAAGGAATATTTTTATTGTTTCCAGGAAATCATATCTTTGGAGCTAGCATGACCTTTTGCTTCGCCACTGGTAATTCAGTACAAACAATGCATAATAAAATCTTAATTCCTTAAGCTTAAGACTATTTGACAAATAGCAAGTAGAAACAAAAAATGATCACTCGTGTATTTCTTTACTCATATGCGAATTACAAAACAGGCTTTTACAATTTCTTGATTAAGGTCTACTTGTCTTTAACGCAAAACCCCCATCGCCTCGCCTATAGTAAAACAAAAGCTCGGTTTTTGGAAGATTAATCCTAGAAGAGCACTGTTTATTTCTGATTTTGGCAGGAAGCCAATTTGCTTCCTCGTTTTCAAGTTCAAAATGAAATAGGAAGTTTGTGGGTCGGCACTAGATCATAGTCTACCAAATCACATTACGTCATTCACTTGAATTGGTCCCTCGTGGTCCATAAAGGATCGTTCTAGAAATCAAATTCAGTAAATGTTGCTCTTTTATGTGATCTTTTACTGGTTGCAAAAACACTTGTTCAAGCTTGGATATTCTTAGTGAAAAGGGTTACAACATTTTGGCAAAGTCAGCGTAACTCATTTTACGTAACTCAGATACTTTTAAGAACACACATGATATAAATTGAACCGAGTGACTGAGCCTGCCGGGGGTCTAATCCACCCCTAGCTATTGATACAGAAAGGGAGCTTTTCCAGTATGATAGTGTTCTTCGATTAATTTTCAACGCCGTATCCCCAAGAAATTTCTACACCACTGGCTTTAAGTTATCTGGCAGCAGGCAACTGATCAGCATTCTTAATTTAGATGCATGCATTTCGAGAATGAATGACCACGAGGCACCAATGCGAGTGAATGACATAATGTGATTTGGTAGACTACGATCTAGTGCCGACCAAGTTTGTGGCCTGCGTGCAGTGCAGCCTTTACTTTCCGTTGCGAAGGAGAGCCAATACGGAACTTCTTCAGGGTCGTAGAAGTTTGAAACAGGGTCGTGGACATTAATACCCTCAATATCAGTTTTCGAAATTCGAATCCTCATGTGATCCCTTGCTTGATCCAAACTAACGTCTTGTGGCATTACCTAGTGGGTATCGTCCTACGCGAATCAAACCTCGCTGCATTTCTGTAACAGAAATTCTGTTCATATTAGAAGATTAACCTTCACTACATACAGGGCCGTCAGAAACGGCTCCAGCCCCCCCCCAAAAACTGTCAAACTGTATTATATTTTCTTTATAAAAGTGTACTGAATGGGAAAAACAATGGGCAGCCATGTCATGAATTTCGTCCGACGGCACTGATATGCGAAGGAAACGTGAATTTATAAGCGATTATAAGAAGATGTTGTGAAAATCTAGTCAAGCCCTCTTTCTTTATTAAAAAACACCACATTTTACTGACATATATTTACTTTTAAAAGATGCAGGCTCGAAGAAGGCGTAAACCAGTTTATGATACCATAGATACCATGGAAACACAAACATTTAACGGGTTGCGCAGATAGCATACCGCGGACTCCCCTTGATTACTGACATCCGCTTGTCAATCAAATTCGATCCATCGAAGATACTTATAAGATCGAAACACTTTTTCTCTTCCAACCTCTTTCCTACCATCAAGACACAGCTGTGATCAAGGCAAGAAATGGCGGGGGCGGTAAACGGTCTATAAAGACACATGCCGTAAAAGCACTATTAAGCCCCCCTCTCCATTAAGCCCCTTTATCAGGCAAAAGTTTAAATATGCCCCCTCCCTATTAAGCCCCCTCTTGTAGCCTTTAATGTCAAACATAGAAAACATGCGCATTTAGTGGGTCTCTTGACGGATGTGATGATGATAAGATCGTGTGCGTTAAATACGGCCTCTGTAAAGACTAACTTGTGCGCCTTAGTAGTCAGTTGAAATTTGTTTTAAAGATGCCCAAGGGTTATCAATTTATCCTGGTGATGTTGATGAAGTTGAGGACCTTATAATTGGTTGATTAAACTTTCGAAGCTGCTAGCAAAGTTTTTTGAAAACATTTGTATGATATTCAGGGGTGGCGCTAGAGACAAACCTTCAAGGTGCCGAAGTTTATATTCTCGGTAACTGCCGACGCTGGATGTGTCAAATTGCCGACAGAAAAAAAAATTCGATTTGCCCCATATAGCAGGCAGGGCCGTCGCGAGGCAAGCCTCGTTGGGGGGTGGAATGCAAATTTACCTGATTAAAAAATTATTGCCTGAAACTTTTTAGCTGGTGTCACAAACCTCTGCAATACATTTTATCAATCTAACTCTGTATGATAATAACCGACTTTTCTAATAGTCTTGTCAAATCTCTATATCGGGACGGGCAAAAAATATAGTTACTACCTGAGGCGGCACCATGGTTGCCGCCGAAGGGGCAGGAAATTTTCGAATTGTGATGCTTCTAGTTCCCTGGAAAATTCACTCTTTTAAGCAGATTTCACTAAAGCAATCCTCCTAATCCTATTGAAAATTATTGTCTTTTTGCAAAAAATTTTTACAGCAAATAAAAACAACAATTTCGCCGTGGTCTTGAAAAATACCAGGTTGTCAGTTACTTTTAAATAGTGAATTGCAGTTGACGCTTCTTCTGAGAAACTTTAGGAGAAATGGACACGAGGCACAATTTTACCTAAGATTGCTTGATCCTTCATTGATTTTATGACAGGAAGGTCTCTGAAATACCTAAAGCGTTTCTTCCACCGAGCGGATTTTACCTGAAATTTCCTATTGAGATACTATTGGGGTGGGTGTGACAACCCCCCAGTCTCGACGCCCCCTGAGCAGCACCTCCAATGAAAGGGCACCGATATAGAGCATTTTTCCAAGAGCAAGCAAGCATATAGAGCAAGCAATAGAGCATTTTTCCAAAATCGTTTGTTGTGGGTGCAAAATTCTCCCTTGCCCTCTCCCCGCCCCCATTTTCCAACCTGTGTCGGAGTCCACGAGATTTTCTCGGCAAATTGTGCCTTGTAAGAAACTTTGCCTATTGTTGAATATTTCTTCCTATCCATGTTGGAAGAAGTTAATCGATGGTTTTCTCTAAAAAAATTTGTTTGTCGGAAGCTATGCGGTGAACAATGCTATTGAAAAATAGTTGATGAAAAAGGACAAGAAGTGCTTTTTGAAAAATCTATTACGCAAAATGTGCTCATGATCGAAATGTTTTCATTGGCAATAATAATGTCTTGAAACGAAAAGAGAATCCCTTAAGAAGAAAATTCATTAAAGAGTTTATTTATGACAACGTGATTTTGCTGTTGTTAGGGTAAATTTCCTTGAAACGGTCCAAAACATGATCCAAATCAAGCATCTCTGCACGTTTCGCATGAATTGGCATTCGCATGAGCAGCAACAGGGATTTCAACAGAGAGGAGCACGATGGTATTGTGGGTCAGGCGAAGGAGCACCATGAAATTAAGAGCCAGTGCAGTTTTCTCCTCGATTATTTATATCATTCAAACAAGATTTAAACCGGGTGACATCCATCAAGTGCCGACTGTATTGAGAAAGCAAAAATTGATGGGCTGCCGACGGGGGGGCTAACAAAAGTCTAGGGGGGGGGCTAAAGCCCCCCTTGCCCCCCCATGCCGCCACTCCTGATGATATTTACATAACAAAAAATGGCCAAAGTATTTTTAAACCTTTTTTGGCTTGAAATTTTTAATAAGTCCCCTCTCAATTATAAGCCCCCTCTCTTTTAAGCCCCCCTCTAAGACCCGGGGGCTTAATAGAGCTTATACGGTACTCTAAAAACTGTTTTTGGGTAAGCTCGCATAGAATGATTAAAAAGGAGTTATATTTATTTTCAAAATTTGAACTGGAGTAAAAACATCCTCCAACTTTTCGCTGCAGAATTCCCATTTTTGTTGACAATGTCTCCGCAAGTACAGTTGAAATATTGACTATAATAATTATTTGAAATTTCTTTTATTGCGTTATTTCAATGTATGTGACTGAATTTCAATCCAATGTTTGGGTGAAAATAAGTATATACGATTCATGAAATTCTGATGATTATACTTCAGAGCTTGTAACTGATAGAAATAGATAAGTTCTGGATGATTCCGATATGATTTCATTTTTTGCTGCCCATCAATTTCCTGGACTAGCCTTCCAATATGCTATGATCCAGAATGAATCCCTTGCAGTAGCGGCGCCACGGGGGGGGGGGAATCGATTTTGTATTTCGACTAAATTCGATGAGAAAATGTTGGGGGAGGGGTAATATTTAGACACCGTACTTTTTGTGATGTAATCCTATGATTTTCAAACTGCCAATTTTCAAACAAAAGTTAGTCATAGGCGTTCCCTTCAAATAAAATTGGCGTTTCCTGTTGATGAAAGGGCGTCTTCTGGTGGTTAAAAGGGCGTGGCTTTAATTTTTTTTGTCTGTCCCCCCCCCCCCAGAGCTTAGTGGCTGGCGCCGCCATTGATCCCTTGGATATCTAACTGTTTCTTAAATCTTTATTTGCTCATAAACAAAACTGGATTTCAATGTTTAAAGCTAGGTGGCTAGAACAACAACATTCACACGTATGCCCTAGCTTTTACTTTCACACTTTCACACTTTGCTTTTAGTTAACACGATTTATATCACCGTTTTGAAGACAAAGTAGTTACAGTTTATGTATAAACAATAAAGTTTACTGATAAATAACCACTTTATGATAAATACCAAATACGTCTGCAGACACAAAATTTAGTTGACTATAAAGATATGCATCAATGAACTATTTCTAATTGTGTGTAGTCGTCAGTGATATAACCGATTCTGTATCCGGGCACACTTTTGCAACTTCTGTGATTATTCTCTCGTATTTTTGATCGTGTCTATTTCATCTTTTCCAATATCATTAGTGCCAGCAAGGAGTAAAATACAATCAGTTTTTCTTCATGGTACTGGCTTGATGCAATCTCTCATATCTGTGTTTGTTACCCCGGGGTGTTAACGTATCTTTACGATATTCCTCTTTCCGAGATAGCATTCTTACAGGACATTCATCGCAATTGAATCCTCTATGATTGTAATATTTTCATTTTTCACTGAGTCTTATCGCTGTTTCCTTTGTCTATCCAGTAGCCTTTTTTGTTACCATTGGTTTGACTTGCTGTTCTTGTTGTTGGCGTTAAAATCTCTTTCTCCTCATTCAGTGGCGGATCCAGACTACCGCCATTACCGCTCGAGCGGTAGTCAGTCAGATTATTCAAAAAATTATAGAAACAAGGATCATTTTCATGTTTATCCTAATACTTTAATTAAACCATAATTAATTATTGAAAATATTTGATCGCGCTGCAAACCAAGCCTTTCTTCATAGGAACATGCCTGAAATTTCCACAGAGACAAAAATATTGTTTAATCCTTATCGCTATGGAAATAGCATGGGGGGATGATGAAATCATGGCTTGCTAGCTAGGGGGGTTGAGTCGGTGTAGAGCGGATTCGAGCTGCACTGAGCGGTAGTCAGCCTGCCTAAACCAATCAAATCGTCAGAAATCACTGCCAACCTGGGGGGATGCATACAAATTTTGTTGACAACCAATGAACAACCGAGTTGACTACCGCTCAGATGGGGGGTTGAGTAGTACTGCCGCTCAACACGGCTCAAACGTTACAGAAAGATGGGGGGATGCCTAAATATTCTGCAAACTGTAACTTCAAAGCCGATGTGACCCATTATTTTGTACAATACACAACTAATCGTAGGAATATATTTTAAAAGAATATTAAGACTCAAATATTCTAAAATTTAAGAAGGCATCAGGTTTAAAAGTCAGGCCCACAATATTCGCCAAAAGTATGATTCTTTGTTTAACAAAAGTTGCTCTCAATAATTTCAAATTTTATCTAGCTTTTTAAACTTGTAATTTCCAACAGGTCTGATTTTCATAAGTAATTGTCCGACTAAATGCGAGTTTTAGGCGACACTTCAAAATTCTGCCAAATGTATCTTTTTTTCTAATTCTATGGTGTTCCTCGTCTGAATGCCGTAATTTTTTTAGAATATTCATCCTCAGAATATTGAATAAGATTATTTATTTCTTCTCAAGCTTGTTGTAAGGTGTAAAACCACTTAAAAAGGGGGTTTTACAAACGTGAGTTCGTATGTCGTTCGCAGAAACGTACACGATAAATACGGCAAAAACTGTTATCCAATTCGCTAATTTCTTACACTTCTTCTAATTCATCAGTTCA